ATATATATATATATATAAACTATAAACTAAACCAAGCTTCTGTGCATTACACTGTAAGTACTTAAACGCCTGCTATGTAAGTTAACATTGCAAGCGATGTCATTACATTCATTGTACTAATCAAGAAAAGATTTACTTAAGGCCACACCAAGTAAATTTTATGGATGACGTCCTCGCGCGCATTGATTTTGGCCTGGTCCTAGAAAAAAAAACAAGAAATTCCGCTTCCTGTAACTATGACCAAAGAGTCGCAGTGCCGCAAATCGTTAGATTGACGTGAAACCCGTAACGCGAAATGGGTAAAGAGCACATGCTTTGTTTCTGCAGGCCTGCAAAAATGTGATGAAAGAAACAGGACAGGACGACAACTGCTGTTCCACCTGATTTATTGCTGTTTTGATGATGAATAAAAGACTTCTTGCTTGTTAATCTCACCTCATTCAATTTGTGTCCTAACATTTGTCGTCTCTTAGTATATTTCTAATCTAGGCATCTTGTTTTTTAGGGCCCTTCTTGTTTTTTTTTCGCCCTCTCGCATTAGATATAGGGTCTCCAAAGGACGTCATCCATAAAATTTACTTGGTGTGGCCTAACCAAGATATCGAATTTTTTTCTGCAAAGTGGCTTCTCTTTACCGCGAACTTATCCTTAACTTATCATTAGGCCACACCGATTTAATTTTATGGATGACATCCGCGCGCGCATTGATTTTCGCCTGATCACGTCTTCCGAGGCGCCTGGCAGTCCATGGTGATTAGCGACTACGAAGGATGTGGTAACCCAGGCTACCGAAGCTCCACGACATACGTACAGTGTCGATTCATAAATTCCGCAAAAAGCCAGCATGTGCGTCGTATACGTCGCTATGTAATGCATCAAATTCACAATACCGGCTTTGTATTCCTGTGGTTTAGTAGCATTTTTTGGCCGGATTTTTCTTCTTTTTTTTCGCCCACGCGCACTAGTTTGGGGGTCTTCAGAGGATGTCATCCATAAAATTAAGTCGGTGTGGCCTTACCATGAAAAAATCATTAACCATTAACCATTCCGTTTTCTGCACCCACCATGAACGAAATTTTGCTACCGCGAATATAAAGTAATTTACAGTATGTTTTTGTTTTGCCTCCTTGCCTCCTTATTTAGTATTGAATGCCTATAACGAAAACAATGTCGCGCCATCTGATCTCCAAACAGATCATACGGTGGCAAGGTAGACCGAAGGCTAATGGACACTCCTCTGGCCAATGGATACTAGTAGTATCCATTGGCAATGGATACTAGTAGTATCCATTGGCCAGAGGAGTGTCCATTAGCCTTCGATGGCTCAATGGACACTCCTCTAGCCAGTGGACACTACCTTGCCACCGTATGATCTGCTAAGCCTCTACCAGGCTTCGGGAGGCGGCTGGAAAGAGTAGAAATCGGCCAAATAGAGAGATAGCATGCCGGGGGAGTTGGACGTCTGGCTGGAGAGAACAGTTTGCCGCTCCCTCCCGAAGCCTGTGCGGAGTCACCATATCTTTGAAGTTCACTAATCGCTATCTAATCGCTTCGAGAGCGGCAAACTGTTCTCTCTAGCAGACAAACTCCCCTCACTTGTTTAATATCTCCCGATTTGGCCGATTTCTACTCTTTCCAGCCGCCTCCCGAAGCCTGGTAGAGGCTATGATCTGCTTGGAGATTAGCGCCATCTTCCTAGCCTCTATCAGGCACCGTGGATCGCTGGAAAAATAGTAGAAATTGACCGAATTAAAGGAATAATATACCAGGGGAGGTAGCCGGCCAGAGAAGATCCAATTCGCGTCCGTGGGCCGGCTACCTCCCCTGGTATATTATTCCTTTATTTCAGCCAACTTCTACTACTAATATTTTTCCAGCGATCCGCGGTGCCTGGCAGAGGCTACCATCTTCCTTATTATATTCAATTGCCCATAACCTCTCACCTCCAAAACAGTATACTATTATTATTATCTTGATTGAATACTTTTCTTATGCTTTGTACTTAAGTCTGTTGTAATTTTATATTGTTAATTGATTGATTGATTGATTGATTGATTGATTGATTGAAGCATATGTCGTACTTGTTAGTTTACTGTATTAGTATGTTATATTGTGTATGTTTAATCTTTGTATGGTTTGGCACCCGAAATCAGCCATGCTGCCTGGGTGGCCAATGTTTTGTGCTGCTACAATTGATTTAAAATAGAATAAAACCATTTTCCTTCAGTTGTCGTCCATGGTTTGGTCTATCCAGCCGCGCATGGCGCTGACGCGGGCGTACACCCCGGGGTGTCCGGGCGAGGCGCAGTCGGTCGCCCCCCAGCTCGTCACCCCGTGAAGGGTCCACTTCCCTCCGGTAGAGCACACAAGGGGGCCTCCGGAATCACCCTGGAAGATGAAATACTTTGTATGAGAAGAAAATAACTAGAAAGGTAACATTTGTAAAGCAAATGAACATAGTTTACCCTTGATACACACACACACACACGTGCTTTGATTTGATTTGATTTATTGAAATTGGAACAGTGCAGTACACATGGGACAAAGGCAGCTGTTGCTGGTGTTGTGTCCCACACATAGAAACAAATACAGGACAGATCTAGAGAATACTCATTTCCACTTGAGTGAATAGGGAAAGTCGTGTAAAGTGCCTTTCCCAAGGACACAAGATCGATGGCATGTCCGGACTCGAACCCGGGACCTCTTGGTTCAGAGTCGAGCACTCTGCCGTTACGCCACACGACCCCACAAATGCTTTCTATAAGATGCATCTAGAAAGGTAACATTTGGACATGTGTCTAAATCACTCCTGCTATAAAATTGCAACATGCAACACTAGTTACCATGGTGACAGACGTCTGGTCTGTTCGTGTTTGCATGGTGTTTCTACTTAGGGGCGCCATATTAACTTGCTACAGACACCCTAGGATACCTCGCTATTATCAATCATGTAGCAAAAAAAATATCTCCTACATTGTAAGTAAAAAGTTAGTACAAACTTACAGAACAGGTTCCATGGCCCCCCGCGTCATAGTAACCCGCGCAGATCATAAACTCCGTGACCTGTCCGGCATAAATAGAGGAGTCGTCACATCTCTCATTGCTGACCAACGGGAAACTGGCTTGCTTCAGGACGAAATCGTTTCCTGTCCCTATTGAGAAACAACATAATTAGTATGCCAAAAAACAGTTACTCAAGCAACTGGATATGATTTTGAAAACGTCAGACGTTTCAGCTAGTATCCACTAGCTTTCGTCAGTGACTGAGAGACCAGAGGGGAAAGCAGGTTTATATACACAACCTGTTGATATACATCAACACGTTTTCAAAATCATATCCAGTTGCTTGAGTAACTGTTTTTTGGCATATCGTATTACCTGGATGTCTAACCTTCATCGACGTAACATGATTAGTATTTCTAAGTCATATTCATATGGGGTAGGGAATTTTCCCAACCAGCCTCGTAACTCCTGCGTCTCCTATTGGGCCAGTCAGTCCTCACTACTTGTGAGAAATTGGGCTGGTCTCAATCATGATGTTTCTGACTCACTAGAACTTTATCAGCAACTCTCTCCCCTGAGACAGTGCAAATGTTAGACACGTTCCAGCGTAGATGCCTCAGAACTATACTAGGCATCTCCTGGCGTGACCACGTATCAAATGAGGAGCTCATGCAAAGAGCCAAGGTTCCATCTCTCAGTGCGCTTGTAATGAAAAGGAGATTGAGCTTTGCTGGACATGTGTGGAGACTCCCTGATCTCAGAACCACAAAAACAGCCCAAACATGGAAGCCAGAAGGCACACGCCCGAGAGGGCGGCCTAGAGTCACTTTGCGGAAAACACTACAAAATGATGGGGTAAAACTTGGACTTAACTCACTTAAGGATATGGCAGTAGTGGCACAAGACCGAAACCTTTGGAGACAAAAAGTCAGACAAGGAGTCGACCTATGCAACAAGGTTGCGGGAGGATCTAAGGTCTAAGGTAAGGTCTCTCCCCTGACTCAGGGAGAAGAGAAGTTCTGACTTGGCAACCCGTAACCAAGGTGAGTGGTGATACCATTCAGGTGGTAGCACCGTTCACCTTGAAGTGGCCTAACGACCGTGTTACGTGGCGACCAACAAGTAAAATATTTATTTTCCATGCAAATGAAATACAAGAGACTCGAAACAATTCATTACCATAATTTTTGAATTCAAATGAATATGAATACAAGACAAGCAAACATTTCCATCAATGATATCACATTTTACCTCACAGATATCAGTATGTTATCGTATAGGATTGATTCAACTTACTACGTTAAAGGATTACCGTAAACTTTTTTAAAAATATATTCCAGCATTTCATGACCAGACATGGGGACAGCACACTCAAGTCATATATATCAACTTATTTTATGCCGCCACCAACGCAGAGGACGAATACAGGACTAGACAATACTCAGGAAAGTCGTGTTAAGTGCCTTTCCTAAGGGCACAAGATCGATGGCATGTCCGGACTCGAACCCAGGACCTCTTGGTTTCGAGTCGAGCACGCTGCCGCTACGCCACACGACCCGTAAACTTGGCGTTGCTAATTGAAGATCCTGTTTTACTGCCCTGAAATTGCATCGGATGTCTTTAAGGAAAGTGTAGCGTGTCGTGTGGCGTAGCGACAGAGTGCGCGACTCGGAACCTAGCGGTCTCGAGTTCGAGTCCTGACATGCCGCCGACCTTGTGCCCTTGGGAAAGGCACTTTACACGACTTTCCTCACTTCACTCAGGTGAAAATGAGTATTGTCCTGTAGTGTATTTGTCCCCTTTGTTGGTGGCGGCATTAATATAAGTTGATAAAACTTGAGCGTGCCGTCACCACGTCTGGTGATTACATGTTGGAATAAAAAAAAAGTGTACTTGCCTTTGGTACTTCCCCACCCCGTACTGACGCAGTGGGTCCCTGCGGGAGGGTCGGCTCCTGGGCCCGAGGCCAGACAGACGGGCCACACGTACTGGTTCAGCGTCGCCGGCTGGGCCAGCTTCAGTAAGGCCAGGTCCTTATTGGTCGGGTTCCTGCTGTATCCACTGTGAACGATAACCTGCAAAGGCAAGCATTCAATGAAATATAGATTAGATAGATATAGAATAGATAGATAGTAGATTGGAGTGGATACATCTGCATTTTCATATGGCAGCGTTTGTGTATTGTAGTTATGTGCAAAATAAATCTGAATATTTTTATATCTGTAAACTCGACACAATCAAGACAGATGTTTCATCTACTTCTGCCATGCCGATTTTTATAACCTTAATTTTAATTCAAGTATTTCAGTTAATCGGTTTAAGTGTGATTGTTTTGTTATGTTTAAGGAGAAGGACTTGCACCTTTAAGGCTTCTTCCTCTCCTGTACAAATTGTTTTTTTTTAATTTAATTTACTTCACTAACTGTATCTTGTTTTTTTGTGTGAGATAAATAAATAAAATAAATAAAATATAACAAATTGAAATTGATATATTTTAACTGAATCTGTTCCTCATGCTTAGTTGTGTGTGATGTCTACTTAGTCGTGTGTGGCAAAAATGTGCAATAACGGTTTTGCGCCACTCATGTTCATTAAAACGTACGTACCTTTGAGACCTGCAGACGTTGTTCTGTTGAATCGGTACTGTATTTGCGGTACTTTCCCAGGATGACGATATAGTTACTTGGCGATGGACTGAAATGAATTACAAATGCAAGGCTTATAAATGAATCATGATATCATTCATTAATTACTGACGCAACTTTGAGCAATCCAACTATTAATTGGACAGAGCTTCACCGTAACATTTTGATATTTTTACCTGCAGATTCTTCCAGTTGAAAGTTGTTCTGTATAAGACTCAATTCTTACCTAGTGTCGACACAGTGGGCGGCGGTTAGGACCCAGAGGGGGTGGATGAGGTTACCGCCGCAGCGGAATGAGCCGAACCGTAACAAGTAGACCTGCCAGGGCCAGCTTCCCGGGAGGGCAGCGTAACCACCGACGATACGGGCTACGGGGAGGGTCGGCTGTATAGCTGGAACACCGCACTTGGAGCCAACGTTAGCTAGAACACATAGAGAGAGAGCAAAGCATGGGTGAATTACCGGTAAGGTAGAAAAATATACATAATTTATCTTTATTACTCTGTGAAGAGGGTCATTGACCTCCGACGAGGTATTGTGGTCGGTTGTGTCCTTAAGTACGTTTGCAGCCATAACTCACGATACTTTTGCTGCATTCGAAGGCAGTTTCTTATGCTGTCTGCTAGTACGTGAGTGATGATTGGTGCTGTTTTCATATGAGGAAATTCTACTTATAATCCTCTTGTCACAAGATACGACTTACAACTTACGTTCGTTTGGGCCTGTGCCTTTACACCTCTTTATGAATCAAGATCATTTAAGATGGATATGTCTGAAATTTGGCATGTCTGTAGTGAAATGGGCTACAAAATACGTTAGCCCAAGCGGAAAACACTTCCCGTAGGTTTGTGATCCATGGCCCCTTGTTGTTATTTCATTTGAATTTCAGCTGTATGATACAGCGTTCTTAGAAAAAATCATGATGCGGCTCTAGAAATGGATGTTTCTTTTTTATGACAAGTAGCTTCACTTTCTTTGATGAGGGGAACTTGGCTTTCACTGAATGATTTTTAAAAAATCACTACATGCAACATGTGATGATATGACAAAAAAAAGGTAAATTTGGAATCCATAAGTTTATGTAAAAGTAAAATTTGATAAAACAACTCACAACAGATGATTTCATCACTTCCATCAGAACAGTGTCTGGTGCCGTCACAGGTAAGGGTCAGGTCGACGCAGTCTCCATTCCAACATGTAAACTCCTCAGGAGTGCATGTTCCTGCAAAACAGATATGGCTAATCTCCAATCAGATGTTTAGGTGACCGCAAAATACAGTATCAAATTGGCGAGGCAGTATCCATTGGCCAGACTGTACATGTATCCATTGGGTGGCAAATGGCCAATGAATACAGCCTGAAGAAATTTGGTACTGTCTTTTGCGGCCACCTAAACATCTGGTTGGAGATTAGATATGGCTTAAGTGTATATCGTGAATGAGTGTTATACACTAATTGATTCAGCGTCAATATAAGTGTCCCAAGCAAGTTTCCATATCTTAATCATCCTGGTTTGGACGGTTATGTATAACCAATCATTATGTCATATTTTTGCACCAACATTAAAATATTCTACTTTTTGAAAAAAAAGATGTGATTGTCATTTCCTTTTTTTTACATAATTGTGCAATAATCTAACATTTAGGACTATGATGACTAGCACTAAATCAGCCAACACGAGGCGAACTCAGTTTGTGGCACCACCAGGAACTACCAGAATGTAAACAAACATGCCCGACAGCTGTGATTCAAGCTTTTTAACATACTCATGAGGTGTCATATTTTGGCACCTACACTTACACTGAATGGCACTTACTTACAATAGAGTAGGGTTATAAGAACCTGATTATTTTTAACAATAGGATGACGGGGCACTTTCACTTACGTGGTGGATCCTCAGCAGTGAAGTTAGCAACGAACCCAGACCTCGTCACTGAACCATCACTGGTGAAGACTAGAAAGGCGCTGTTCCCAGTGGTGGTGACTGTTCTAGCTGACGAACCACAAAGGGTGGCAAGCACAGGAGCAGTAGCGTCTGGACCATCATGCACAACGAGGGAGTCATAGCCACAGTTACTGTTGTACTCCAGGTGGAACGCTGTAAATCTGCAAGTGTTTCATATCATATCTCATTATTTCACAAGGGGGAAGATGCCCATAGTATTATCATGTTTACCATGGCAGAAGGGAACCTTTTCTTGCTCTGTTTATTCTTCCCCTTCTTCTTCCGTTCCAAACAAATAAGGTCAATGACCCGGACCAGACGTCTGCCAGTATGGTAACTGGTGCTGTAGCTGACACCCTGTGGTGTTGGGTTACATTATGTAGCAAAACAGAGCTGGAGCTGCTGCCCATTAAATTGCATGTACGAATATGTTTGAGTACGAATAAACAGAGCAGAAGTTATTTGCTTGGCTAGACCATATGAAGACAAACATCATTCATTTGCTTTTAAATAACAGATGTTACCTTTCTAGGTTTATGTTACATGTAATGTTACTTTACATTACTGTGCACCGCCAGATAACACATAACTAATAGGCAATGTACAAAACTGCAAGTTACTGTGTTTAGTGTCAATATTTAGGTTCTGCCAAAGAGGGTATAAGCATCCTAATAGATGCAAACATAACGTCCTACCGGATGGCAACAACGTCACTCATATTGACAGATATCTGCCAAGTACAGTAAGCGTTGTTAGGGTAGTGTCCTGGGTAACCTGGTGAAGTAAAGCTGCCAGAGTCCCCATTCAGTACAGTAGGGTTGTCACATTGCACAGTCGGTGTAGTTGCTACAACTTCAGTAGTGCCTACAGTGGTACTGGCTTGTGTTGTTCCTGCACATTCAAGTATATCATTGCCCGTCACTGATTATATTCAATGTATCAACTACGGTCGCACAAAGTTTCTGAATTATTACAACAATAACGACATAAAAAAACAGTGCAAATGAAAAAAGAGAGACATGCTATATATATATATATATATATATATATATATATATATATATATATATATATAGAGAGAGAGAGAGAGAGAGAGAGAGAGAGAGAGAGAGAGAGAGAGAGAGACGAGAGACGAG